TGCGCCATCGTCGTCGTCGTCGCAGCAGCAGCAGCATCGGCGTCAATTCGACTCGGACGCCGCCTCGGCGTCGTACGAGCAGGCCGACATTTTCCCGCAGTTCACGTCGTACGTGACCATGACGCGGGCCACGTCGTCGTACGTCAACTTTGGGCCGGACTCGAACCTCAACACGTCGGTGCCCGCGCCGCGGTCGCGCGCCGTCAACGACTCGGGCAACGGCCAGGCGCCGACCAACATCAACAACCCGGACTCGCCCGACCTGGGCTGGCTCGACACCATCGTGGGTGCGGTGCCGTACAAGAACGGCGACCTGGCCGCCTCGGTCGTGTGGATCCTCGCCACCATCTGCCTGATCCCGCTCCTGCTGATCCGCCTGCTGCGCCGCTCGAGCCTCATCAGCAGCGTGCTCTTCACCATCATCGTCTACATGGTGCTCATGATGGTCGGGTTCGGGATGCGCGCGCGCCTCTCGGACCAGACGCCCTCGACGGGCCTCATGATGGCCATGAGCATCATCCTCGCCGTCCTGCTGCCGCTGCTCCTCGAGCCCCTCATCGCGCTCCTCGGCCTCTATGCGGGCCAGAGCGGACGGCCGACGGGCGTGCCCACCGCCGCCGCCGTGCTGCGCGCGCTCAACCTCGTCGTCTTTATCCTCTTCCTCGTCGCCGCCGCCTACGACGCCTCGTGGATGAAACAGTGGGACGACGCGCTGCGCAACCGGTACACGGCCCAGGACCTGCCCTCGATCCAGCCGCCCGGAGTCGTCCGCATCGCCCCCGTCGTGGCGAGCATTGTCGAAATCATCCTCATCCTCGGCACCGCGCTCCTCATCCCCGTCGCCCGCGGCGACAACGGCAGCATGCGCCCCGGCGGCTACATTTTCCTCCTCCTCGTCCTCCTCTTTATCTCGTGCGTCTACCGCCTCCTCCAGACGCTCCACGCCACCTCGCGCCTCTCCGAGGAGAATGGCGGCAGCGGCTCCTCGTCCGACCTCCTCCCCTTCTTCTCGGGCGGCTCCTCGAGCTCCACCACCGACGACGAGCGCGTCGCAAACGGCCTCTCGCTCGCCCCGCAGGGAATGTACGGCCCCAAGTCCGAGGGCATCGCCTGGGAGCAGCTCCAGCTCACCATGGCCAGCCGCGGCAACCCGCAGACGCCCGTCATCTTCAACCTCGTCTACATCTTCCCCATGTGGCTCATGGTCTTCCTCCTCTTCTTTGCCCACGCCCCCGGCAAGAAGAAGGGGGGCGACGCAGACGGCGATGGCGGCGACGGCGCAACGGCCACCGCTACCGCCACCGCCTGAGGTGCCCCTTGTCCTCCCTGATCCCCCGCCCCCGTTTGTTCCATCCCGCCTAGCCCCCCTCCCCCTACCTGTCCTTCTTGTATCTATCCCCCTTTGCCCCTGTCTGTGTAGGTAGATAGACGGCGACGACGACGAACAATGTCGAAGCGACGAAGGCGTCCAAATATGAAGGCGTTGCAAGTGTTAGGCCGGCTCTCGATCGCTGCAGACAGGGGGCAGGCACCGTGGGCATTGTCATTCGTTTCATCTACTGCAAGCGGGCGTCCGCACCGGACGCCACGTCTATGTCTGCGCGCTGTTGGTGAACTTGCTCTTGGCCCTGATCCGCGCGCCGTACCGGTAAAAGAGGAACGGCAGCGGCACCATCAGCACATTGAGCCCGGCCAGAAGCGCGCTGGCGCCCACGACGCCCAGGCCGCTGTACATCTGCCCCGCAAACAGCGGAAAGGCGGCGGCCCAGCTGCTGCGGACAATCGAGTTGGCCGCCATGGCCGACGCCGCCACGGGGCGGTACGCGTCGACGGTAAAGGAAAAGATCGAGATGTAGGTCAGGCCTATTGCCAGGCCGATGAGGATGCTGGCGAGGATGGGCACGATCCAGGGCACCGAGGCGTAGCTGGTAAAAGCGAACGCGAACAGGCCGACGGGCATGATGAGCGCGCCCGCCATGGCGACGGGAAGCCGCGCCTCGGGAGGGGCGACGCCACCCCCAGCCTCTCGTGCGGCGGCGTACTTTCGCGCCCAGTACGGCATCGAGGCCAGCGCCACGAGCTGACCGAGGCCGATGCCAACGAAGCTGAGGCCCACTTCTTGCACGTTGAAGCCGTGCTGGCGGAAGACGATGGCTGTTTGAAAGAAGGGGGGGGCGATTCGGTCCAAGCAGGGCGAGGGAATAGATGGCGAGGCTTAGTCAGCCCATCGCTCTTCTTTGCTTCGCAGCATGTCACGACCTTTGACTGGCAGCGAGCGGCCAATACTCACGAAAGGCGATGAAGAGGAGGTAGAGCAGACCGAGCAGCAGCGCCGACCAGATGCACAGCAGAGCGAGCATGTACTCGTTGATTAGCAGCTCAAAGGGGCGGGTGCAGCTGGTGGCGATGGTGCGGACGACGCTCTTCTGGCCGATGTTGCGCTCGTGCTGGGCATAAAGCTTGTCGTCGCCCGTCTGCTTGCGCAGCCTGCGCGCACGCTTGGCGAGGATGATGGGCGCATACGTCTCGGGCGCGAAAAAGTAGATGGCGACCAGGGTGCACGCGGACCAAATGTTGATGACCCAAAACGACCACCGCCACTGCACGTTTTGGTTGATGAAGCCGCTGAGCAGGGAGCCGCTCGCCGGTCCCAGGAACGGGGAGAGGGTGAAGACGGCCATAGGGATGTAGAGGTCGCGCTGGTCAAAGCAGTCGCTGACGGAGCCGCCGGCGACCGAGAGCAGCGCCGAGCCTCCGAAGCCGGTGAGGAAGCGGAAGATGAAGAAGACGGCTGGGTTGTTGGCAAACGAGACGGGGAAGCCGAGCAGGAAAAAGGCCGAAAAGGAGCAGAGATAGATGGGGCGGCGACCGTAGAACTCGCTGAGGGGTGCGAGAAACATGGGACCGAGGCCGAGGCCGGCGACAAAGAGCGAGAGGCCGAGGATGGAGACGATCTTGCTGATTTTGAAGTCCTGCATGATGCCGTCGTAGGCGAGGCTGATGATGGACGAGGTGGACGTGACGCAGAATGAGGCGGCCGAGACGACGACGACGGTGCCCCACTTGCGCATCTTTGACCAGCCGAGCGGGTTGTCGGGGTCGGCCTCGGGCGGACCGTGTGCCCACGTTACGAGCTTGTCGTCGCCATGGAGGTGCTGCTGCTGCTTCTCGATGGCGGGCGTTGCCGGCGCGGTGGGCGAAGCCTCGAGGTCGCTGCTGGTGGCGGCGTCTGGGTGATGCGGGTCGTTGTGCTCTGCGGTGGGGGTGGAGGGGCCCGAGGTGGCGGCGAGCGAGACGCTCTGGTCGGAGCGGGACGTGGTGGGCCTCATGCCGGGCGTGTGATGTGGTGGGGTATGAAGCGGTCCGAGGGAGCCAGTGCCGGTCCGGGGAGGGAGCGTCGCGGCCACCAGTGGGTGCGGTGTGTGAGGGCGAGGGCGAGGGCGAGGGCGAGGGCGAGGGCGAGGGCGAGGGCGAGGGCGAGGGCGAGTGCGAAGGTGTGCAGATGCGGGTATGCTGAGTGTATGTGCGCGGTAGTCTATAGCATGCTGGGTGTCGTCGAGGGTCTAGGTAGGGAGGGGGATGGTGGTAGCTCGGAGGTAAGGGCGGTGAGGGGAAGGAAAGGTGCAAGCAAGCTCCATCATCATCGGAAGAGCCTAGCCTATGTATGTAGGGCCAGACCCGGCCCAGCACCAGCGCCTGCGCTCCACGGCAGGCGGGTTGGCTAAACCTGCCGGCGTGCCTGGCTGCGGGCCAAACGAGCTTCCGTCCGTTCGCCTTTTTGTGCCGGCCGCTTGCCGCCGCCGTCAACCGGCCAAAAAATCCAAATCTCGCGCCCCTCGCCTGGCCTGGCCTGCCTCCACAACACCTCCGGCAGCGCAGCGCAAACACCGAAGAAATTTCAAACCGCAACTTCGGAAGGCCTGCTTGCTTGCTTCAACCGGCGGCGCAGAAACGCACGGCAGGCTAGAGCCAGGGTGCAAGGCGGGCAGGCGGGCGGATTTTAGGCGGATCAGGGTTCTGCCGGGCTCGCCTCGTTGTCCTCATCGGCCTCTTGAGCGGCTCAGCCTCGGCCAGGTCCGACACCCACCCGCCCCGCCCTCCTCGGCTTGTCCACCCCGCGTCTTCGGCCCCCTTCCGACACCTCCTATCCCGCTCGCTTGCCCTCTTCAACGCAAAAGACAGAATTGATTGCAGCCTTTCCTGCTCTCCCCTGTCGCTGGAGAGCGGCGGCGACGAGCAGACAAAACGATGGATGGGTTCTACCGAGACTCGTAGACTGTCACCAGGACCAATAATGAAGGGATGCCCACCGCTCGAGGCTTCGGGCTGCATAGGAGTAACCGGACGGCGCTGCCTTGCTCTGCTGCTTCTTCTCTCTGCCTGCCTGGCGCGTTGCATCTCATCTCGATGCACGCCAATCGCCCCACGTCGTCGACTACCTCGGCATCTCGCCGACGCCAAGACGAAGCCGGCGGCGGCGGTGCTGCTGCTGCTGCTGCTGTTGTTGTTGGTGGTCGAACACCGACGGCAGACCCGGACCGGCATCGCCCTCTTTCGCCTTGGTCGGCTTGATCAAGACCTCGGACGCCCCCTCGCAGCCCATCGGTAGCGGCGACGGGATCTTGCCCACCTTCGTCGGGCTGCAGCCACGGAACAGGTCGCGCTCCTCGCTCGACTCGGTGGAGAGCCGCTTGAGCTTTAGCTTGGCGCCCACCCGGTCCAGCAGTCGCAACGAGCCTTCCCGATTGACGCCGCTCGTCTTCCTCGTCCTCGACGCAGCCGCTTTGGCGCTCGCAGGTCGTGCAGCCTCCGACGCGGTGCGCTCGTGTCGGCGCGGTACGTCTGCCGGACTCGGCGCCCTCGAACCATCTTCGACCTTGTGCCAACGCGGGGGAGACGGGGGATGTGGCGCCCGGCGCGGGTGGCAAAAGGCCTTTCGGTCCGTCGGCCAGTCCTCGTCGGTGCCGTCGCTGCTCTCGCTGTGCGATCCCTCTCGCGCCTTGAATCGATCACGGCTGCCCTGACCGTCCCCGTCAGTGAGGCCGAAAGGCCACTCGCTCGACGTCGGGCTAGGTGACGTCTTGGCGTCGTACTGCACGTCCAGGCATACAACGCCTGCGTTCGGGTCGCCCTGGCTGAGCGCGGCCTGCAATTTCGAGGGCGGCGGGCTCCCGTCCGCCGTCTTGAGCGGCTCGGTGTTTTGGGCTCGAGCGACGGATTGCTTGTACCACCGCGCAAACCCAGTCTCTGGGCCAGCCACGCATCGCTCAGGCTCGGCGCTGCGTAGCGTATCGTCGGAACGGGCGTGCCCGAGGTTGAGGATCGGAAGCGACCTGTGCGGCTGTCGATCCGCATCGGAATCGTCGGGCTCTAGCGGCGGGGCAGGCAGAGGCTGTTGCGCATATGGCGGGATCGCCAAAGGTGGTCGCCGGCGCCGGTTGCCCAGAGAGCCATTGCCAGATCCCGGTTTCGTTGACGCGATCGATCCGTCACTAGCGGTGGGATCGGTGTTCAGGAGGCTGGAAACGAGCTCCGAAAGCCTCTCAGAGGCGAGCCTGATTGGCCTTGGTCCGTCGAGCAGGGATTCTTCGTCGGACGTGGCTGGCAACTTGCCACCGTCGCCAACAGTCTGCGCGAGCGCCACGCCTACGCCCTCTCTTGCCGCCGCGACCGCCTCCTCTTCCACGATTCGCTCGTCCTCGCCGCTCCTCTCCTCCTCGGTGATTTGCTCGAGAGTCGCTACGTCCCTGCTTCGGATGGATGAGCGCAGCGGTTCCATCGAGTCGATGCTGTCGCCGGCGCTCGCCTTGCTGCTTGCAGCCGAGTTGCGGTCACCGTGGGGTATCGGTCGGACACGTGCGGCACCTGTGGGCGGCGAGGCATGGTCGCAGGCCTGCTCGGTGAGCGAAGCGTGTCGACAGTCTTCGAGCCTCAGCGCGTCCTTTCGACTTACCGTCGTCTGATCCTGGCAGCGGGTCTTTGAAAGACGAGCAGGCCGACCGCCAGCTCTCTCGCACGTATTCGCTGTGTCTGGTCTCGCTGCCACAGACCAGACCGCTTGCGTGCGCTGTCGAGGCGCTTCGGCAAAGGCATCGCGGCTTGGCATCATCGGCGGAGCCAGGAACCGACCCTGGTGCCAAGGGCGAGGAAGCTTGGCTATGCTCCGACGGCGGCCGTGTGGGCGTGTATGTGGCTTCGCCGCAGCGAGCATGGCCATTGACGCCGAGCAGAGCCAGCTCCGCTGCATCGAGGGCGCAGCGCGACTGCCTTACCCATGCTAGCGCCAGCGCCAGCGCCGATGCACAGTCGAGCTGTCCAAAGTCGCCTCGGAGCCGGTCCGAGGCGGGCGTCGAGGGGACGAGGCCGTCTGTACCGTGCAGAAAGGGACCGTCGGCCAACATCGTGCTCCTGCTTTGCCCGCAAAGCACGTTGGGTCCTTGAGAGGCTGTGTGGTAGGGGTGGCGGTCGGAACGAGAACCGGGGCTTGATGGGCGGTGTGCGACCGAGAACCCCTCCGTCGCGGCTCGAGGCTTTAGAGGACGCGAGGGGCGGCGATAGCACAGAGGAAGCCGGTGAAGGTAGAGCTGGAGAGAAGGAAAGGCAGAGGGGGGCTCGAGACCAGACGGTCCAAGAGAGCAGGCAGCGACGACTCGCGGGTCGTCTCTTGGTGCGAAGGCGCTCTGGGCTATGTATGTATGTGCCAGGTGCGAGCAAGCGGCCTCTCCGTGCCCCGAGCAGGGGCGACCACGACTCTAGGGGCGAAGAGAGCTTGCTTGAGCTGTAGGCCGGCTTCATCTGCGAGGCGGGAGCCGCAGAGCATGGTCAGGCGCCATCCTCTTGATTAGGCCGCGAGATGAGCTCTCGCCCCGACTTGCGGCGTTCTGCGGCGCCCAACGTTGAGCCTGACCTTTGCTGCAACGACCTTTGCTCGGAGAGGCCAAGGGCGAATGTCAGCGCTAGCGACTAGGCGGTTGTGGAGTCCTGCTACGGTGGCGGCGCGTCTCCGGCGCTGAGCGCTAAAGAAGTCTGACCTCTTGTTGGTTAGGTCGTGCAACGGGGCAGCCAGCATCGAGGAGGGGGCGCAGCGGGGCCGACCGGAGCGACGGTCGGGCGCGGTCCCGGTTCATCCTGCACGCCATCGATGGTGGTGCTCGCGAAAAGGGGATCGAGCGAGGCTTGGGTGGCATTTCATGGCGTTCCCATTGTGTGTGATTGGACCCGGCCGGCGAAGCTCAGACATGGTGGTGGGGACCGAGGATGAAGAAGTGGGGACAGAGGCGCAGCGAGGGGGTCAAGGCGTTGCGGCGGGCTGGCGCTGAGCTCGAGGCGCGCCCGGGGCCTCTTGGGCTGGCGCTCAGGCCAGGCCAGGCCAGGCCAAGCCAGGCCAGGCATACGCAGCGTTGGTCTATTCAATTGGGCAGGCCAGGCCAGCCCAACAAGGGCCAGGCGAGCCAAAACGGCTGGCGAGCGACCCAAGCTTGCTCGTCTATTCTCCTAGCCGGCCTTGCCCTCGACCTCCATCGTCGTCCTTCCACCCTGCTCCAACCCACTCGTCGGATCACCGACCCACCAAACTACAGGCCAGACAACCGGCGTCGACAAGCGCCTGCATCGCCCATCGCATACGCCGCTCGTCCATCGCCCTGCTACCCGGAGATCGGCCAGCACTGCACCACTACCGAACAGCGCCCGCTACCATCCCGACGCCTGCCGTCTCGCCCAAGCCCTCAAGGACAAAGCCTAGCTCTTTCTACCATTACTGATTCTCCCGTGGCTCTGGCTGTATTCTGCGCCCCCTTCGCGCTATCTGCTGCGGCACGCCGAAGTAGCAGCAGCAGCGAGAACCCCCCTCGCCTGCTCGACACCACTGTTCCTTGTGCTGGCCCATCATTGTGTCAACACCGTTCAACCACTCGATACCTACTCGCAGGCGCCGCACGCCTAGCGCCAGCCTCCACGACTCGCTCAACTGCCAGCTCAACCTCAACCTTGGCTCTCACCTGGCCTCCGCTTCCGACCCATCCTCCGGCTCCGAGGGCGCAGCTGGAGCTAACGGCGGGCGTGGCGCCGACACCGAATACGCAGGGGCCGCCGGCGTCGACTCGAACCAGAGCCCAGCACTCCGACAGGCTCTAGACGTGATTCGAAACATAGCAGCAGCTGGATCGGCGAACCCGCAGCACACCGGCTCGCAAGCGGCGACGACGACCTCCGCCATTCAGGGTGCTGGAGCGTCAGGTTGGGGGTCTGGTGCCGACGGCTTCGTCTTCCAGAGCAGCAGCAGCAGCAGCAACAAGGACAGCAGCAGCAGCTCGACTAACGAAGGCGCAGGGGCACCGAGCACCGCATCAGAACCCCCGACAGAGGAAGCCTCGCCCGCCATGAACGGTCAGGAAGGAGCTCAGCTGGCGCAGCAGCAACAGCAGCAGCAGCAACAACAACAACAGCAGCAGCAGCAGCAACAACAGGCTGCGGGGCAACAGCAAGGCCAGGCTGGAGGCGCGCTCGACTCTGTCAGCCTGGGCCAGCTTCGCAACTTTGTCAGCTTCCAGAAGCCTCGGGTGAGTGCCCGTCAACCGACTGCCCCGTCGGCGTCGAGTCTCGTGTGTGTGCTAGTCGCTGTGACCGAACCTGACGGAACGGCTCCCTCCTCGCTCACTCCCACTGCAATGCGGCACCAGGCGCGACGATACGACTTCCCCACGAACGCCGATTCGGACTCGATCCGCAACGAGATCGACGAGTACTACTCCTACGTCGAGGCGCCGCAGACGGTCGAGAACCGCCTGGCATGGGAGGAGTGGTGCTCGCTGCCGGCTCACGTGCGCAGCGGAGGCGTGCGAGGCGAGGCCAGCGCAAATGACGGCGCTGGCTACCCGCTCTCGGGTGAGCCGACCGAGCCCGGCAAGCTCGCCGAGGGTGGCGGGGCGCTCGGACTCGGCCTTGGCTTCGAGAGCGGGACCGCCCAAGGCGAGGCGAATGCCCATTCGGACGCCTCCCGGAGCAGGGGAGAACCAGTCTTGGGAGGTGAGCAGTGCACCGTCGACCAGCTTCTTGCCGGCCCTGCCATCCATTCTGGTGTGGTCGCATTGGCCGCTTCATTGGCAGAATGCTGACCCGCGCTGGTGCTCGCTCCTCGCTCCTCAACATTTCTATCTTCGATTTCAGAATGGACGACGCTGCCATCGTCGGCGCGCAGGAGGACGTTCCAGTCGCTGCTCGCCACCTTGGAGGTCCGCGATCCCGAGGCTCGCTTCCGCGCCTCGCGCGCACTCCTCTATCTCCTTCAGGGTGCGTTTGCCGACACGTCGGGGCCTGACCACCAGCTTCATTGGCTCCTCGAGAACGCCAGGATGGTCCGATCGCTCGGCGGCTTGGGCGAGATCTACTCGGCGTGCAAGATTGCCAGCTGGAAGCACGACTGGCTTAGCTCTCTGCCGGACCACATCGCTTCGAGTGAGGGCGACGCCTCTGCGGGCCCCGACGGCCCTCACCCCGCCCCCTTGCTCACGCCGGAGGCCAAGCTCGAATACCTCGAGGAGATCAACCTCGAACTCGCCCTCTACTTTGCCCAGCTCTACTCGCTCATCGAGGCGTCTCGCGGCGACGAGGAGTGGGGCGACGAGCTCATGAGCCTCGACCCTCCGCTGCCCATCTTCCTCTTCGGCCTGGTGGCTTCGCTGCGCGAAAAGAGCGCCAAGGGCTATCCTGTCAAGAAGCTGCTTCTGCTGCTTTGGAAGTCGCTGCTCTGCACCCTCGGAGGTGTCGTTGATGTGGACCGCTGCAAGCTCCTAGCCCGCGAGATCGAGGGCCTCGGCCCGGTCGAAAAGGAGCAGAAGCGAACCGTGCTCAAGGCCAACCCGCTCGACTTCCAGGACTTTCAGCAGGAGATCTCGGCCAAGTACCCTACTTTTGTGCCGCCGCCCAAGCACCCCAACGAGCTGCCCCTGGATAAGCTGGCCTCGGCCATCACTCCCATCCCCGCACGGAAGCCTTATGGCAGTTCCAGTGACGCTGGCCAGCGGATCGACCCGAGGACCGGTCAGCCTATTCCGCAGACAGCGGGGCAGGGTCAGGCCGGCCAGATGGGCGCCTTCCCAGGCACGCCGGCGCCCTCGCCACCGCCCTCGCCGAAACCCAACAAGCAAAAGTATCAGACGGACCAGACCCGGCCGTTTGTCTTTCCCTACAGCCGCGCCGTCCAGGGCAACCGGCTGGTCCCCAGCAGCATCGACGAGGCCAGCCGGCTCTTCAAGGAGAACATGCATGTCAGCCTCGAGCTGTGGCAAATGTGGCGGATCCGGGAACAGGCTATCCAGGAGGAGAGCGGCGTCGGCAGCGCCGCCGACGGCTCCCGCATCGGCCTCGGTGTGCAGTCGGGCGGCCGAGGCGGGCGCAAGCCGTCCTCGGACGGGTTCGGCGGCGCTGGTGCTTCATCGTCGCAGGGAAGCAAGAGCCCGACGGGCACCGAGCCGCCCTTTTTCGCCGCGCCGCAGAGCAGCTCGTTCAAGGTCAAGGGGGAGGCGACCATGGAGCACCTGCTCGAGATTGAAGAGGAGATCGAGGCCGAGCTGGTGGCGGTCGAAAACGACCACATGCTGGCTGCGCTCGACAACCCGCGGCACACTGAGCTGCTGTCGAAGCTGCAGCAGAAGCGCGCCGATGTGCGGCGCCTGCAGCGGGTCGACATGCTCTACCGCGCTGTGCTGCCGCAGCTGCAGAGCTCGGTGATTGTGCTGCTCAAGCTGCTGCTGGCCACCGTCACGGCCATCAACACCAACAGCGCCCACGCGGCCGCCATCGCCGACGGCACCCCGATCGAGGATGCGCCGCCGCCCACGCTCGAGGACGTCGACGTGGCGCGGCACCGCGAGATCCTCACCAAGGCCGTCAGCGCCATCCTGCTGCTCTCGCTCAAGTGGTTCAAGGCGAGCCACGTGATGAAGTTCAACTACCTCTCCCAGGTGCTCGTCGACTCCAACGCGCTGCTCCTCATCCTCAAGATCTTTGGCCTGCAGGAGGTGGCGCATGCGGTCAAGACCAAGAACGAGGTCGACACCTTCTGCTTCTTCAACTACTGCTACCTCAACGGCGGCCGCGAGGAGAGGGGCGTCCGCGCAGAGGACTCGCTGCTTTCGCGCCAGAACATTATCGGGCCCGTCACCGTCAACCCGGGCACCACCAGCCCGCCGCCGGGCAGGCTGACAATGACCGCCGACGGCACCGAGGTCGAGGTCGTCTCCGACTACTCGTGGCGCAACTTTTTCTCGAGCATCAACTTTACCCGCATCCTCCAGAAGCTGACCAAGCGCAAGGTGCACCGCATCCTGCTGCTGGTGCAGTACAAGAGCTCGGCCATCCTCAAGCGGTCGCTCAAGGTGCCGCATCCGGGCCTCGAGCTCTACGTGCTCAAGGTCATCAAGAGCCAGATCCCCTTTTGCGGACGCAAGTGGCGCCAGTCCAACATGCGCGTCATCACCTCCATCTACCTCAACTGCCGCCCGGACCTGCGCGACGAGTGGCTCTCGGGCTCCGACATCGAGGCCGACGTCGAGGATTCGCTGCCGCAGGAGCAGGCGCTGCGGTCGCTCGTCAAATTCTACAACGCCACCCGATTCGACCAGGGCAAGGGCGCTGCCGGGCTCGCCGGCCACGGCCACCGACGTTCGATCAGCACCGGCATGGCCAACGCCAACCTCTCGGACCAGGTGCCTGGCGCCAACGGCAACAGCAGCAACAACAACGGCAACGGCGAAGGCGGCCCTGACCCGTCGCAGGCCATGTCGCCGGGCAGCCGCAACGGCACCATCAGCTTCTTTGAGAGCGACGTGCTGCCCCCGCTGCGACGGACGCACCAGAGCAGCGCGCCCGGCGGCTACATCCCCGACGACGTCGTCGAGGGCTACCTGGACACGTACGAGGACGTGCTGGGCGAGGTGTTTGGCGACAGCGTCCACGTCGCCGACGGCGAGGGCGGCGCCAACGGCAGCGGCTGGAGCAGCGGCAAGTGGGGCCTCACCCAGGAGGGCTCCAGCACCGCCTGGGCACGCCTCGGCGAGATCCTGGGCGATGCCGACGCCATGAGCGATGCCGAGTCGATGGGCTCGATGGCGGGCGACGCGGGCTCGGGCGGATCCCCGCGCGTCGGGCGGGATGGGCAGGAGCTCGATGACGAC